AAAGGCGCTCAATAAAGATATATATATATATATATATATATATATATATAATATATATATACATAGGAAGGAGAAGACATCCAGTGCCCACCTCATCACCTGTTCTGGCAAGAAGCACTTCCTCATGGTTCCTTTCAATTGAAGCGATAGCTCCCAAGAAGATACACTGAAAATAAGTACACACGAAAATAAGATACATAACAGGGTAGTACTAATTAACTTAGTTACTCACGTCCTTGCTAGGTACACAGATAGGAGTGCCTCGCTTAAGCTGACCCGCCTCAACGGTAACACCACAAACAATAGGATTTCTGGCGTTAAACACGTGCTGAGGAAGAATACGCAGCTTACACGGGAATATTGCCAGATGTTCATTCTCTCTTCGTGCTTTCAATCGTAATTCTTCTCTATAAAGTGGTTCTATTGATTTAGAAAAGTAAAATTAAACAGAAAGAAAAAGATTATTCTTGTTTACTACCTGTACTTGAGAAAATTATCTTCCAAGTGATAGATGATATCCGCCTGGAAGATCTTCACCTTTTCCTGATCCGCGAAAAGTTGTGCATCTCGTTCGACTCTAACGTCAAATGCCAGGATACATGCAAACCTACAACACAACTATGCTAATAATCAAATGATTTGAAAATTACCGCCACCCACTCAGGTTTATGCTCCAGCATAGCAGCTGCTTTTTGAACATCCTTCTTATGAACTGGACCAATGTTGACATTTGAGTACTTCATAGAAATGAATTTTTCACTTCACATAATAACACAGTGTGCATGGCAGTATCGAGATGGGCGAGACCCATTCGAGTCTCCAAGAAAAGCCACCAACCGGAATTTTTTGTGTTTTCAAGAACTCCAACAAAGCTTCCAAGGAGCCTAGTGTACTGGCCTGAACATATACGCCCTCGGCCTTCCTCTTGATTGACATGAGCGCTCTACTCAGTTGCGCTTCTGCTTCCAGTCTAAATTTTACACTGTTACATGGTTCACTGCACTGAAGATAAACGCACTTCAAAAAGTCGATCTCGTCCTCCTTATGAGCAATCATAAGTGGCAGACCTGCTAAAGCCTTCTCAAGACCTTTGGCCAACACCTTGACGCCTTGGGCGCCACGTACTTCCTTGTAATGTCCGTAATCGTTCTAAACGAAAATGTATAGATCAGATGAATAGCAAGAATTTGACTAAACCCCATTTGAATTTACATTAGGATGAAAGTTGCAGACTGAAACTTACTGAACCAATATTTGAACAAATACAAACCACGTTGATGATTTCATTCTTACAACAGACGAATGCAAAGAAGTCTGACCTTCACGCGAAGTTCTTTTAACGGCTGTGGCATCAGAAGTTCGCGTATTGGTGTCATTATAGCGCCATCGGTGCCCGTAATCACTATGATGTCTCCAACCCTCAAACGTCCATTGACTAGAATCACATCGATTGTTGTACCAAGCCCAGGAATAGACTTCACTTCCATCACAGTTGCATCAAGTTCTTCACAGAATGATAATTTTTCAGCATGATATTTTTGAGTGGTCGCAACAATGTAAGCCATTAGATTTCCTAAATTCAGCCGATTCGAAAATGTGCTCAAGGCGGCAACAACATTACTTCTGCCTACCTATTCCGTCTCCCAAATAAGCGGATGTTGGGACCATACTTACATACTCTTCCACATTCTTGTTTTGATTAGATAGACATACATTGACTGCCTAAAAAAAAGTGAAAATGCATAGATACTTCAAGAAAACCTTCAAACACTTAGAAGATAGTGCGACCACCTGTTCAGCGAATTCGCCAACAATTTTCTCATAACGCTCTTTGAACTCAAGCTGTGTGTTTTGTGGTTGGGATTTGAGATGTTGATAAACGTCTTTGCGTGGATTTGACTCATACCCGTAGAGACGATCAATCTGTTTCATATATAGAACACTAAGTTTGGGCATTGCAGATTGAAAAAATGTGGTTTCATATACTTTCAGTCAAGGTTGGAATCCTATTTGTTACCTTATTGAGAGCAATCACGAATGGTGTTTTTCTTTTGAGCAACAGCTTTAACGACTCGATAGTTTGCGGTTCCAGACCATGCATGATATCCACAACAAGAATCGCAAAATCACAGAGCGAAGAGCCGCGTGAACGGAGATTGCTGAAGGTTACAACTTCAAAATTAGCTCAAAATTGCAATTATCTGAAAAAATATGGACATACGCAAAACTTTCGTGACCAGGCGTGTCAATAATCAAGAAGCCGGGTATTTTAACCAGTTCAGGGGTAAAATCTCGTACTTGCTTACAGCGTTCTTTGATAGCATCGGCTGGGACCTACACATGTAAAAGTACAACAAAAACTCTATTCAAGTTTTGAACAATAACAAACCTGGGTAGCACCAATCTGCTGCGTGATACCACCAGCTTCGCCATCCTGCACATTTGTACGACGGATCTGAAAGAAAATAAAAGTCGTCTCAGATTGAAATCGAGAAAGTAATACTTGAAAAAGGAAACTCACTGTGTCTAGCATTTTCGTCTTTCCTGTGTCTACATGTCCTAGAACACAAATGACAGGGGCTCGGAGGTTATCCGTGGATCTTTTGGCTTCTGCTGACTCGCGCCTTTTCTAAACACAAAACAAACCTATAAAGAAAAATTCTTAAAAAAATGCATACAGCGAGTCTTTGCCGGACAATCTCCATCACTTCCTCCTTGGTTATCTTTGACTTTGGAGATTCATCCTCGCTCGAAGACTCTTCTTCGCTTTCACTTTCTTCTTCCGATTCTGTCTCTTCCTCAGATTTCTCTTCCTCGGATTCTTCCAATTTAATCCAAAACGATTTCGTTTTCAATAAGAAATCAACAAGAGACTCCAGCTTAACATACCGTAGCGCTTTTCTCCTCCAAAGTAACAATGCCCGATGACGGCTTAGGCTCACTCTTTACCTGTTTCTTTTCCTGCTCCAAAACAATGTTTTTAGGTTCGTCCTCTGCCAATTCCCAATCATCGAGAGGCTCCTCCTAGTACAAATAATGTTAGAGCAAAAGATGATGTTGAAGTGTAGCAATAGAAAAACAAACACACTTCCGCAGGGGTGAGAGATTGCGATTCCGGAGTTTCTTCTTTAGACGGTGGAGGAGTTCTTGCTGCTGAGATGGCAGAGATGATTGAGTGGCGAGAGGAAAGACATTATAATAACAGTGATATTTCAAACAACTGCAAAGGAAGAAACAGGCCAACGCACAGACCTTCAATAAGTTTTGCTGCAGCTTCCTCTTTTTCTTTTTGGTCTTTCAATTGCTGCTCTTTCATGCGTTGTTCTTGCAGTTTCTTCTTGGCACGTCGATCAAGATTAGCATATATGACCTGCTCGCTAATAGCTGACGGAACTGGTTTCGATACTGAAAGCGGGAAACCAAAGTAGAAAATACATGGAAACAATAACTAAAAAAACGCAGGAAGTCGTTCAAATGAGCCCATTTCCGGAGAAACTACAGGAAGAAATGTGAAAACTAACAACCAGCCGCAGCCAATTTTGCAGCTGCTATACGTTGCTTCTCTCTTTGTGCTGCTGTCAGATAAGTACCCTCTGCTTTCTTCCGTTCTATAGCTGCCTTCTCCTTAGCCTTTCTAGCTTCTCGTTTCTCTTTCGCCAAACGTTCCTAAGAAAGGTGCACATCTTTCGCAAAAGTGAACAATCTGTCCACAGCAAAAAGCAATACTTCCTCTTCTTTGGCTTTAGCTATAGCCTCCAACCGTTCTTCCTCCTCTTTTTGCCGTCGAAGCTCAGCTTCTTCTGCCTCTTGCTTTGCACGTAAAAGTTCTTTAATCATGTCCACCTAAAAATTTACGTACGTAATGACGTCGCTGTAAGCGCAGTTTTAAATGAACAGAATAATATACAGATAGAAGCTCTTAAAAAATAGTGAAAAGATTCACATGCTTCTTCTTTTTTCCTTTTCCTTCCTCCTTTTCATCTTTGTCGCCTTTTTTCTTGTCTTTTTTCTTATCCTTCTTTCTTTTCTTTTTATCCTTAACGGCCTCATCTTCTCCTCCTTCAACATCTCCACCAGCTTCATCAACATCACCACTGGCTTGATATTTGGGTTCCTTAAAAAGATAATAAAATCATTTGCCAATACGTCGACAAAGAAAACACACCTCTCCTTCTACTTTTTTCTCTATTTGCTCCTCTTCATCCATCTCACCCTTCCGCTTGTCTTTCTTCTTCTTCTTCTTTTTCTTGCCCTCATCTCCAACAACTTCAGCAACAGGAGGTGCTACTATTCCTGGAAAGTAATGCAGATGCACGAAGTGTACTTTCAGTTCAAGCCTTCCAGAGAGGTGCGCAGCGGAAGGAAAATATACCTGCTGGCTCAACAGAAGCTGACTCCGTTGAGGCGGGAGTTCCTTCTTTGCTTTCATCAGCTATGATCAATTGTTCGTGATCACCCTTCCTACCACCCTTCTTTTTCCCCTTTACAGAAGTTTTTTCGTTGAGTTCCAAATCAGCCAAAATTGCGTCGAGATCGTTATCGTCTTCTTGCTTTCCCTTTAATAATATAGATTACGAAAGAAATACTAAAAGGATTAGTTTTCTTCCCCAAAAAAGTGAATTCCTCAGACAGATATATGCGTCACAATACAGTCAAAAAAATTACCTTCTTTCCTTTTTTGCCTTTTCTCTTCCCATCTTGTTTAGTTGACGCAAGAGCTTCAGCCTTCTTTCCCAATTCTTCTTGAGCTTTCTTCTCCTCAATTTCAATCATAAGACTCAATTCTTTGTATGATAGAATACAACAAAAAAA